GGTCAGATGCCTGACGAATAGAGCAAGACGCATCTGTACAGATGACTCTCTAGAGAATGAGCTAGGATACATCCAAAATACGTTAGTCCAAATGGGTTATCCTAGTAGATTTGTCAGGAGACACATGAATGCGAAGTATAATAAAGAGAAACCGATAACAGTTAAAAAGAAACAACTGTTCATCAAACTGCAATTTAATGGGGACGTGGCTAGTGAAGTCTTACATCAGAGATTATCGAGAGCGATAAAACGGACTTATACTGCCGCCACCCTCTGTTTGTCATTTTCCAGCCGGCCAATTTTGATTGCTCAAGTGAAAGATAAGTTACCGAGTTGTGCCACTTCCATGTGTATTTATAAATTTAGTTGCTCCTGTGGAGAAGGCTATATAGGCCGAACAACTAGGCAGCTTAACAAACGCATTAATGAGCATCTTCCTTCATGGTTCGGAAAAGGTCAAATAAAGTCCATACGAAGTTCTATTTTGGCACATTTGATTGATAGTGGTCACCAAGTGGACAAAAATAGTGCTTTCAAAGTTATTTACCGCATTCCATCAAGCCTTTCGAACGGAATCAGAACCCGACTTTTACACTTAGCCGAAGCTATGGGAATTCGAGAGAACAATCCTAGTCTTTGTATACAAAAGAAATTTGTTCTACCTTTGTCTCTCCCTTGGCCTAGGTGAATTCTATTCAAAACCCTCCCACCCTTTCTTATCATCCCTCTCCTTCGTACTTTTATGATATTTATTTAAACTCTGATTATCGTTCCATTTGATTTGACCTAATTTATTTATTTATTGAATTGTCTACATATATGCATATACTAACTTTGTTATTCTTATCACCTATATAAGCCTTATTAACAATATTTTGTTATTATTATAATCATCGTTATTAACTTCGTTCAAAACATTTACCACATTATTATTACTATTATTATTATTTGTATTATTATGATTACTATTATTATTTGATCCACTAAATCACCGTCATTGGTTAAAATTTTATATATATAAGTCTATGTAAATTAGAGTAAAGCCTGAAGAAGATCTAATTGAAAACAATATTGTTCGCTTATATGTCTTGTTCTAATATTATAATTGGGAATATTTAAAGATTAGACGTATTATCAAAATTATGGTGTTTATTCGCAACACACACACAGACACAGACACACTGTGTTTAAAGTGTTTAACAAAGGTAGATCAATATTTGTAAGTCTGAGGTCGAATTTTGATCGCAACTCGTACAATTTTGTTTATTATACTTGTTTTAAGACTCATGATTGGACAAAGTTTTTTAAAAACAAGAGATGTTCCTTTTATATATAAACCTCTGTTATGTTAATTTCGATTAATTTCCCTGAAGAAGTTCGGACCAGATTGCCGAACAAAACGTTGGAATTTCTCATTTCAATATCGCTGAGATTTTACAAATATAATTTTTTATAAAAGCAGACATCCTGAGAACTTTGTGGGTAAAAGGATCGTCTCCTAGTCGAAGAAAGTAAATATATCCCAATCTCCACGAAAGCGTTTAGGGGTAATTATCCTATCATCTCAAATGACTCACTATTTTCGGTCATTTAAAAATAATATTACCGATATCATAATTTACCACGAGGAAAAAGCGACATCCATAGAGTTATAACGTTTAGACGCACGATATTAATCCGAAACACAACGACTATGATTCTGAATCACAACATCCTACTTTGCTACCTAATCTTCTAATCGCATCAACAGATGTCTCGTCAAGAAAAAGAAGACCAATGGTTCAAGGAAAATTTATATAGAATTTTCCTAAAAATCATCGGCAACCATATTTATAGCCACGCAGAAATTAAAATCATCCGAAAAATAGGGATTTCATTATTTGAACTAAAACGAGCAATTTGTATTCAGTCAATTTTTTCACCCCGAATAATAATCAGCTTCTCAGCTTGTTGTAACTTCGAGAAAACCAGCGATTGCAGAGCACAATCCGAAACGTTATTCTCGCTAATTAAAGTCCTACCGATTACTCACCAGATCGTCGTATTTTATCCGCTTTTTAAATCGTTTTGCAACGAATTGAATGGCTGTTAACATCGCCTTTACTACAGACAGTCCTAGTTCATGCGTTTGGATCTAGTACATTAGGCATTAACAACCATTGGTAACACTTACCCTTTAGGGGTTTCCGATTGCCTCCAGATTACTGTTTCCAAAAGTACATACAAACACCACACATTTATACTTCACATGTGGCTCATCCTTGTTTGATTTATATTCTCTCACAATATATCTGATTTTTTAGCTGATAACAAACACCTTGTCGAAAAGCTTCAAGGCATTTTCAGCTTCAAACCAGGTTCTGAATTATCCAGGTTTAACATCTTTTTTGAAAACCTCGCTAATATCAATACTGATCGTGCTGTATTTCCAGATTAGTTTCAGGTTGATGAATGTGTTTCTCACGTTCCCGATTCTCGCTTGATTTGACATCCTCGTCCGTTCCGACTGCCTGTAGTTGAGACAATGCTCCCTAGATAGGTGAATGAAGTAACATTTCAAGTCCCTCCCGTTGATGGCGATTGGCGCTGGATGTTGCTGCTGTTATTGTTGTTGGTTGGTTGGTTATTTTCATAACCTCCATCTTGTCTATGTTCACCTGGAATCCTGTCTTCGCTTGCTGCTTCTTCAACTAGTTTGTCGGTTTTCACTTGTTAGTCTTCGATTTTGTGTGACATCAAGCATAAATCATCCACGCGCGAAATCCAGGTCTTCTAGGTTCTTCATGTCGGTCGAGGATATCCCTGTTTGCTCGTTTCCCACTGTCTGACGCATAATCTAGTCAGTCCATCACAATTAAGAATATCATTGGTGATAATAAGCACCCTTGTCTGACTCCTGTGTTTACTCCAAACGCCTCGCTGAGTTTTCCGTTGTGGATGGCTTGACATGTGCCGTTGTCGTACAGCTGTTGAATAAGGTTGATGAATATTTGGGCACCGTACGCCATAGTACTCGAGTAGTTTCCAAATTACTTCGTGGTCAACGCTGCCTGTTGAAGGCCTTGTGGAAGTCTATGAAGTTGAGGTAGAGGTTTGATTGCCATTCCATGCTTTGTTCTGTGATGATGATGCGTAGAGTTGCAATTGGGTCAGAACATGATTTGTCTTTCCTGAATTCAGCTTGTTCTGGTCGGAGTTCTGCATCCAGTGCGTCGTTTATTCTCCCCAGGACGAGACGACTCAGGATTTTACTTGGGGTCGACAGGAGCGTGATTCCTCACCAGTTCTTGCAGAGTCCTAAGTTGCTCTTCTTTGGTAGTTTCACTAGGTAACCTTTCCTCCAGTCAGTAGGCACCTCATTCCAGACCTTTTGCGATAATGGAGTCAGCATGTCTGCTGTAGTCTCTGGATTCGCTTTCAGTGCTTCAGGTGGTATTCCATCTGGTCCAGCTGCTTTTCCAGCTTTCAGAATCTTGATTACATTCAAGACTTCAGCTTTCGTTGGAGGATTGGTGTCAACTTGCAGTTGTGTACGTGCTGTTGTTGGTATTTCTAGACGGGTTGCAGGTGGTGGTCGGTTTAAGAGTCCTTTGAAGTGATCCGCCCACTGTTTAATCTGTCTTTCTTCCTTGGTAATTGGTTTCCCTTGACTGTCTTTTATAGGTTTCACTTGTGTTAATCTCTTCCCGTATAGAGATTTGATTATCTGATATAATATCCTCAGGTCCCTTTTGCCTGCTGCCTTCTCAGCATTGTCGTTCATTTCACCGAGGGCCTCTCGACCCATGGTGAGTTCTCTTCCTGTGTTGTCTCCTCCCAGCTTCGCATTCATGTCGCCCATCAGGATTTTGATATCGCCATTTGGGACGTTGTTCATTATTGCTTGTAGTTGTTTGTAGAAAGCCTCCTTCTTTTCTTGTTCTGAGACGTTTGTAGGCGCATAGCATTGAATGATTGTAACTTTCCTTCCTTTTGAGTTGAACCTGGTTGTCATTATCCTGGAGGAGATTGGTTCCCACTGCACGAGAGCTTTGGCTGCTGTTGCTGACATCATGATGTCCACTCCCTCGGTGTGCTCGTGGTTGTCCTCTGGGTGGCCAGAATAGATTGTTGTCTCTCCAGTTGGTAGTTGGCACCTTCCAGTTCCGTTCCATCTGCTTTCGCAGATTCCCAACACTTCTATTCTGTGCCTTCTCATTTCAGCGGCTATCTGGGCAGCCTTTCCAGTTTCCTACATTGTACGAACATTCCAGGTACCCATCCTTACTTTTGCTTTCATCGAAAGAAGGCACACCGGCTGACTGGCTTCTCGAAGGCTTTCACCAGCCTGCGTCATTTCACTTCCCCGATTCCAAAGAAAAATAAGGCTATTGTTTATGTTTTTAGAATTTTTAATATATTTGCGAGTTGAAGTTTCTGTAGCGATTTGGTTGCTATACGGGGGTGGGAAAGGATATGCGCCTTTGCAAGTCTAAGACAACTTTCTGAGCAGCGAACGTGTGAAACGCCGTAATGTAGACTGTAGGAAAGTTTGCACCTAGGAAAAATCGTAAATTATCTCGAAACTTACATCATAATTGTAATATTTACAAAGCATCCAGTGGCCCTGATGTATTTTACGCATGATTGTGTGGTCAATCCACCTCCATATTTTCCATAGCGTCAGTTCCAGTGGATCACCTGTACGTAAATATCTCTTCAGCTGCCTATGAGCATTCTCCATTCTGTTGTTAGTATTGTTCTCCATACTGATGGTGAACCGGTTGCATGATGCGGCTCAATATTTCCGTGTTCTTAGCCAGTACCTGCTAATGTAAGCACCAGCCTCAGAGTCTATAATACTTATGAGGTTTAGGTAATTCCAAAAACTTTGGCAATATATTCTGATTTGTTAACCTACCTGTCATAACTGCGAGTGCGCGCCATTCGATACAACCACTTTTTGACACGTTGACTTGGGAACTGTTTTCGCTATGTTAGTTAATGGGAATGAAACTTACCTTCTTTCTGGCATACGTGGAAAGGATATAAAACAATACTGCACCTAGGGAGTTCCTCCTTTAGAGCGTTCATCTGTGCAGTTGCACAGTCGACAGTGAATGTTACTGTTTTCGACATATCACTCATAAATCTCTTAAACGTCTGCAATATCTCCTTGATATCTGCAAATCGTTCCCTCCTAGTAAGAGCAAACAAAACAGTCCTTCCGCTTCCAAATCCATCAGTCACAACAAACTGATTTAAAGGCCATCTGTAATAAATTTGGAGAAGGAATTATACCTTCTTGTACTGCAACTTACCCCCCATCTTATTCGTTTGATAGGTAGAATCAATTCCAACTACTTCTGGAAACATGATAGAGGTCTATCATATCATAACGCTTGAAAATGATTTTCGATACAAAACCTACATTGTCCCGCAGAACACTAACCTAACCTGTATGCCTCAATCGATGAAGGAGGTCTGCTAAACTACCGATTTCTATTCTACTGTCCCATTTATTTTGATGCGACCTACGTTTATTCATCATAGCCCGCTTGTTTTTAATATCATTATGTCTGTCTGTCTGGATTCAACATAGAACTTGGCACCGAAGTGCAGCAGTTCGAGTTGCCAACTTCCAAATAGCACACAGAGGTAGACAAGAAGATGAGTGAAGAGAATTAATAGAGTTTGACAAATATAAGAGTGAAACAGAATGGGTAATGGTAGAAAGGAATATGAAAGATTACAGAGACTGAATACACATCATTATACAGGAGCACTTTGCCGAATTTCTCATGTGCTAAATCCACGGTTTCATGGAAATCAGTGTTCCTTTCAATGAACGGTTGTACAAGTGTAATTTCTTCTGATGATAGCCAACGTCTAGATACATCGGTGGATATGAAACTTGCTGTGTATGGATGTTTATGCACAGTTTGGTATTTTGTTATTTTGTATCCGTCGGGTGTACGCTGTACCATAATTGTTGACTGACATGAAGTACTTTTCAACCTTAACATTTTTAAAATTTACAAGCACAGTCTGCTTACCCTCTCTTCCTAAAGCCAGCGCTTCGGGGAGCACGTCTACATCCAAAAGTGCATTTGAATCTCACAAACTTATATTCCACAGGGCCGGATGGATCCTTTTTACTTGAATCAACACGATAGGATGTATTGGATTCCTTTCAAAGAAATAATGAACAACTTAGTTAGCACCTTCATCAATTCGTTAAAATCTTGCATAAACTGTACCCACGTATAAATCACGTAGCAAAGCATTATTTTTCCGGATACAGCCGTTACAGCACACAATAGAGATGACACATTACGTGAAGTAGAGGCAGTAGGAGTATTTTGCATTTATTCGTTTTAACAATTTCTAACGAAAACATTGCGTTGCAACGCAATGATTTCAGGTAAATGAACAACAGTATATATTTTAGTGCTCATTTGGTGAGAGCAGCCTGCTAGCCAATTGATTGACATTAATCTACGTCAATGTCTAGGTCACTAATATGGGCCGTGGAAAAAAATGAACAAGGCTGTTTCAACAACCAATCACAGCGAACTTAAATGTGGGCAAATATGATTCGCAGATAGATGGCTCCACTTTCCGAGGAACTCGAAAACAACCAATCAGAAGACTGCGTTTGTCTACTTAACTAGGCTTTAATAATGTATGTGAAATTTATATAAGTACGTGTTGATTTCCGTAATATAACGATCTGTTGCCTGGCCCTTGTCTTCTGTTGTTACACTCATACACCACTGTTGCGACCTGATAAATTCAGTTGATTTATGCAGACCTGGTAAGCACATATCACAGGCCACTGAACTGACAACTTAAAAAGTGGATCAGTTAATACATATATATGCATGTCCTAATTAAATACTCATTAAGTGTCCACAAATTGTGGTTGAATCATATTCGCCTAGCAAACGAAAATGCATACGTCGTATTTTAGACTTAAGATAAATGTATCAAAATTACTGTTGATTTCTATTGACTTACTATGCATTCTCAGATATTTCAACTTACCTTTATTCACCACTAATGCATCCAAAAAGCGTGTGAATCAACACACTGCACACACACCTAAAAAATTAACACGCCATTATATTATGGTAAAGTACGTTCAATTAAACTGTGTGTTAATTTCCGTGTCAAAATAATAAAATATCGCTTTAGCTTATATTCTAGACCAACAGGAAGCCAACAGCCAAACAAAATTTGCCTATATATTTTCACCATATCGACCAAATGTAACGCAACACTCAGTTGTTACGCGCATTTTCGACAAATTCAAGCAATAATGGTGCCTAGGATTAGAGTGCTTTATTGCATAACCCGCTATGACGCTTGTTGCTATGGTTTTCCATTGGCCGTGGTTTTGGGGGAAGATTTAATTGATGTAATATTGCGATTTCATAGACATAACTTAGGCCCATAATCGAGAGAAAACTATTATCCTGGAATAAGGACAAGTTGTTCAGAAGGTAAGGAGGACATTATTTTTCAGTTTATTCGTATATATGCTATTGCACAGCGAGTTGCACTGAGTTCTTAGTGCAACTGTATGTAACTGCATTTACATAAAGTAAAAGATTACGAATGCTCCTGTTTTCAGAAGAAAAAATTTAACATCACACTGGAATTACTTAACATGATTCTTTTCATTAATTTTAGTAATGAAGCGAACCAACCAGGAACCGATTGTGAAACAAACAGGCAGGAAGAAATGGAGATAGATTAGCCATATGCTGAGGAGACCATCAAGTGACATCACTAGACAAGCCATTGCTCGAGTGGAACCCGAACGGGGAGGGGCGGGTTGGTTGTCCAAGGGTGACTTGGAGGAGGTCATGTGAAGAGGAGATGAAAACAAGTGGGCAGACTTGAAGCGGGGTGAAAAAGTTGGCAGAAAACCGAAGGCAATGGAGACGCGTGGCTGAAGCCCTATGTTCCTCTAGGAATTAAAGGATATAATAATAATAATAATAATAATAATAATAATAATAATAATAATAATAATGAAGAATGGATCTGTTCTTCGAACTTCGAAGTTCTTCCATGTCAGTGTTATTTAATTGAAGTTGTAATCCATGTAGGCCCTTAAAGGAATAAATTCGGCACGGAGAACTCCGATGGAAACTAAAAGTACTTTTAGTTTACTGAATCTTCCCGTATAAATTTGATCTTGTCAAGTGTTTATTTAAAATCTGCTGGAGTATTCAGTAAAGCAAAAGTTGTATTGCATAATTCTTAGACTTGATGTTGTCATTGGTATTACCAAGATACCCCTTACTCGTTTTATGCATCCGAAATATCCAATTCTCACTTTATTGAGGAAACATTACGTCTCCTGCAAAAAAGTGCATCAGATTATGATTTTCATAAAGTCTACAGAATATTTTCTATCCAGTGATTACTGTTTGCGAATTATCCGAGAAAACATATTTCCGAGTAGGATGTAACAAAAGGCTGAATTCTTAAACTGTCATCCTTATAACAGTTCAATTCAATCTGTCTGTCTGTCTGTTTTCGACATAGAACTTTGCACAAATGTGCGGAAGTTCAAGTCGCCACATTCCGTGTAGCACGCGAAGCAAGAGAAGAAAGTACAAGAAAAGCATAATAGAAACAGTGAGCAGAGGTGTGAGACAATTCAATCACACGTATATTAATAGGATGATCTTTAACTGACTTTAGAGACTTATCAGGGAACTGATATTTCCAAGAAGGATATAATACAAGGCTCAGTTCTACAACTGTCGTCCTTATTTTAGTTCACTTTCATCATACGTGTACTAATAGGCTTGTGTCATTCACTTCAGGGACTTACCAGGGAACAGTCTCGTCAACTTACAGTATGCTGATGATATTGTCCACCTAGACTATGAGAAGTGTAGCGGCAAATAATTCCCCAAAATTATTGACCACAGCAATCACTCATCATTGGATGCTGACCACCACTGTTTAAGTCGACTTGTTTAGCTGAAGGCTTCCGGTCAAGCATCCCCGCCATTTGGTACCCCGTCGTGTCACGTGCACGATCAGTAGCCAGCTAAGCGTTCGTCTGACGGCTTGTTTTGGTCCCGAAATTTATCACGAAGTTTGGACGATCAAATATTGGCTTTTGCTTTGTTTTTGGTAAGCGAGAATAAATTAGAAGTTGCTGTGTAAGATAATTCCGTCAACCTCTAAAGAAGTAACCCCTGATGCTGGAAAATATGAAAAGAATACCGGTGTTTGATTATAGGTGTCTGTGTTCTATCTCATGAGTAAAGCAGTATAATATGGCGAGTGCTGTTGAGGTTATGCATAAATGTTCAGGTGGGGAGGGTAAGTTAGTCTTCAAGGTAAGGAAGCTGAATAGGTTGAGATGGCTAGAACACGTGCTGGCATACCAAGCCATCGCCTTCCTCCAGAGACAATGCTAGCCAGAACATGATAAGGTTTAAAATGTGTTCGGGTTGGTCAAATGAAAACTGGTATTGGTTCATAAAATCATTGACAGTCAGCTGGAAGAACTACTAGAGATATGACTACAAATCTTTGTTACTGGCACAGATGCATTCACTCTGTGTAGTCTCACGTATCTATTCAACTCATGTTTTTCCTTGTCACTATTTATTCTCCCTCACATTTTCGCTCGTTAAACTTCCATTTAGATTTATGTCCTTACATTTGTGTGCTACATGTTATGTGGTAAATTAAACAGGTGGACTTCTTTGAGAAGTCATACTGAAAACCAGGCAGAATGACACAGTCTGGGCATAACTAAATGCGAAACGTTAAATAATGATCTCCAAAATTTCAACAAATGATAAGTGTATGTAGTAATTTGTTGTACTTGAAATATTAATATACCGGGATGACGGAATTATAGGAATCTAATCAAAACCCAGAGAGGGCAGCAATCAGTAATTTTTATTTAGCGGAATTAGAATGCAATTCATATAAGAAACATATCAACAGCCAACAGTAAGTATTTAAACAATACAGAGATAGAAATTGTCAATCACCACATCCGCCACACCTCGAATATCTCCTCGCGTATTTATAACGATGTCTCGGTTTGCTTGCAAGTAGCTTCGAGCTAACTGATTCTGTGATATTATTTTCATCAGTACTATCTGGACTTATTTCTGAATTATCTACAAAATCAGGATTATTAGCGGAATCAATAATATTATAATTGGAACGACCTACTTCATTTATTGTCACTTTGTCCAGGTGTCCGTTATGAACTGAGTGATCTTTGATGTCTAATATCTTCACCACTCGATTTCCCATTTTTTGTAGTATAATTCCAACAGAAGGTCTGTAGTTATTATCTTTGTAATAATGTACATTAGAAGTAGTGGACATCAGATGCTTTTTGAGAATTCGAGATTTGAATAGTTTTGCAGGACTTTCACAAGAACTTGTATGCTCTGGATTCACCAGACGTAGTCTATGCATATGCAGTAATTCCTCAATTTTATTCAGTTGCTCTCTCATCTCATTCAGGTCTTTTCGTGCTTTCGACAGTTCACATTGCAACTTAGCTACCTCATTTTTGAATACAGTTGATACTTGCGTTGCTGAACTTGCAGTGGAGGTTTTCGTTGGATTAGCTTGAGTATTTTGAAAAGTTGAAAGACACATAGACTCCATTTTACTAGACAGCTTGGGAGAATTATAAGAATGTTGAGCAACATAAGTACTCGAACTCCTGCAAACCGTCTTGATGTGTCCAACTTTACCACATTTATAGCACTTAGCACTCCGAAAACGGCAAGTGCTTCGTAGATATAACTTTCCACAGGATAAACACGGTTTAATGTTTTTGATCTCTCGCTGCATTCTGTTACCTGTGGATGGCAGTTTGGATTTCTTTCCATTACCACTTGTATTTTCGACTTTAGAAAGCATAACATCAGACACTGACGTAGTGGGAGCAGAGTATTCATTATTGACATCTTCATATGTAATGCATACATCTTTAGCAGTTTGAAACGTACAAAAGGGAATCTGAATTAACTCTTTCTCTAATTTAGGAATGTTGATTCCAGCAATTAGACGATCACGTAGTTGTGTATGCAGCTGATCTCCAAAATTACACTTTGAGGCTTGAATTTGGAGTTGTAGTATAAAGTCTCTTATCTTCTGATTGGGAGAACGTACCAGTTTGTTGAAGTGAGCCCTCTCTCTGGTCTCAAAAGTAGTTACATGGAAGTGATCTATAAGAAGTTCACGGAGCTTAGCATATGGCATAGAAATGGGTTTATCTGGAAACGCCAGATTCTTCACCAGGCTATATGCATCAAGACCAATAGCGGTGATGAAATGAGCAGGTATTTTATCATCCCGAACATTCTTGGAAATGCACCACGCATCAAAGCATTCCAAATAATCAGCAATCTCCCGCGGAGAACCATTAAGAGGAAATTTTCCCAGGTTACTTAGCTCCATCGCGACGCCAATTTGTAGTAATTTATTGTACTTGAAATATTAATATACCGGGATGACGGAATTATAGGAATCTAATCAAAACCCAGAGAGGGCAGCAATCAGTAATTTTTATTTAGCGGAATTAGAATGCAATTCATATAAGAAACATATCAACAGTCAACAGTAAGTATTTAAACAATACAGAGATAGAAATTGTCAATCACCACAGTGTAGTTCTTAATCTGGTTCCTTGCTAACTGAAAAATGTATACCTTTCAGCAATCTCTTCTCCAATCCGGGACTCGTCTCTTACTTTGCAAATGGTTTTTGTGCTTTGTGACTTTTGTGCTAAGATTTCGGTCATTCAGCAATCGCCGTTGTTGTTGACTCAGAGCCTAGATGACTTTAGTTAAATAAGGTTTCGGTCGTGCAAACACGAATCCTTGGCATTTGACTGGTTGCATTATCATTTCTCAAATAGAATCCAGAATACCGCATATCAAGGTAAACCTTCCGCCGTGCTTGCTGAAGCTGGTTTTCCTCAAAGTACTGTTATCTCTTCTGTTCTTTTTTCTCTCTCGTCTTACATAACTTTTCTCCTTTAGTGAGAGCAACTTCGCCAAATACGCTAGTAATCTGACTGTCTCACTTCTTGTCATGTCACAATGTGTCAGTTAATTCGTATATATACTATTGCTCATCGAGTTGCACTGCGATTAAATATGCAGCAAAAGATTATGAATACCTTGCTCTTCTCTTCTGCATAGGAAAGTTACTTAACAGGATTCGCTATATTAAGCTCAGTAAGGACAAATGTAAGTTTGTGACCTGTGTAGGCTCACAAAATAATGGGCTTGGCATACATGCTTCATAGTGAAATCAGGAGTGTGTATGTTGTACTCAATCTTCTGCGCTTTCTATATGGATCCGAGGTTCATCAAGTGGCCACTACAACTACTGAGTTTTGCATGCGATCAAGCTAAAATTAAAACTGGTAATTCCAAGAATTGATGTCATTTTCATTGGCGCCAGTTCACAGCCTATTGAGTTTGCACAATACCCATTTCTCACTTTCTGACGAGACATTAAGCAGGATTCTGGGAAAGTAGCACGTCAGTATGTGAATTCCATGAATCTGTATATTGCATTCCATTCACTTAATAATGAAACTAAGCTATGAGGGAACTGATATTTCCAAGAAGGATATAATACAAGGCTCAGTTCTACAACTGTCGTCCTTATTTTAGTTCACTTTCATCATACGTGTACTAATAGGCTTGTGTCATTCACTTCAGGGACTTACCAGGGAACAGTCTCGTCAACTTACAGTATGCTGATGATATTGTCCACTTAGGCTGTGAGAAGTGGCCATTGAAGCTGGAAGATATGAAAAGACTACTGGTTTTTGATAGTAGTGTCTGTTCCCTTTCTTCTGTGCTGAGTAGTCTAATATGGTGAGTAATATTGGGGTTAAGCTTAGTGTTAAGTAGAAATATGACTCCAAACGTTGTTAATGACACAGATGCATTCACTCTGTGTAAGCCCAAATAGCTAACTAACCCCAATGTTTTTTCTTTGTCACTGTCCGTTTTCCATTACATTTATGCTCGTTAGAGTTCCATTTGATTTCTTTATTCCCTACCTTTGTGCGCTACATGGAATGCGATAACCTAAACGGCTGCACTTGTGTACAAGCTTCTATGTTGAAAGTCAGTCTGTCAGAATGATCTATGGTCCAGGCGTAATGAAATACTAAAACGTGGATAAAAATAAGCGAAATATCAACAAATGATAATCTTATTTTTTTCATTTGATTCTTGTCTAACTGAAAAAAGAGTTATCTTGCAATAATTTCTCTCCTTACCTGAAATAACCCTGACAGTGTCTCGTTATATCTCATGAGTTAGTAGCCCAAATGCTATGTCAAAACACATTTGATGAAACACGTTTTGCTTATTACCAACTAAATATGATATTTTTAACTGTGGAATGTAAACAATCGAACTGCTGCACTTCTGTGCCGAGTTCCATGTTGAAACTCAGTCAGTCAGCTTTGTCACTGCAGACGCGTAGTGTCACAAATCCCCATAGTGTTAACTGGCCGTCAAGGAACGTATCCCTAAGTTCCTATTGTTACGAAGATGCCCCGAACCGATGAATACTACGACTGATTCTCGACTTTAAACGACAGGATTAGAAGAATGAAGTTATATTGTTTGGCAATTAAAGCGGAGAATAATACCAGTCTATAAACAAATGTTTTATGGGAAATATAAAGTACTTTTATTCGTTTTAGTTCGTCTTCGTCGAGTTGCCCGGCATATCAGATTGCATACACTGACTCTAACACAACTCGATTCGTTCACAAGATTAGAAGACTAGAAACGACTTCAGAAGTACTTATAATAACATTACAAGATGATTCACACAATGCGACAACTGTTAAAATAAACCAATAATTAAATGAAATGGAACCCACTCAATTACTTAACACGAACATATGTACAATCAATACATAAAATGTTGTGGATTCTGCCTTGACGAACTACCCTTGAAGAACTATAGGACTTACAGCAGTGCGCCTACATTCCTTCTCAGGTTGATGATACAAATGGAAGACGTCCGGACACAAACAAAATTACCAACAGATAGATGAGAGATGATACCAATTCAGTATATACAACATGAACATATGTACAAAAGCACAGACCAAGCACGTTGAGCTTCTCATTGATGCGCTAACCTTTGAAGAATTGTAGGACTTACAGAAGTACGCCTACAACCCTCCTCAGGTTGACGCCCTAGGTCGGAAAATCGTTGCAGAGTTCATTTAGTGACCTCCTTCTCCCATCTATTTCCTCAACTTTGAATGGTCACACGCCCATGTCATTGTATCGTGGAATGTAGATGACCAACAAACATACGACGTATCTGACCAATCAAGCGTAGAGACAGAGTAATTTACACCAAAGATAATGGCACTCAAATAGTAACTTGGATCTTGAAATGCCCTTATTCGTGCAAGTTAGTTTAACAGTCACACTCTAATACACAGTTGGCTTATCCTCAATAAACTGAGCAATATCTTTCGTCTTATCAAACGGACTAATGCTAGCATAGTCATAGCACAAGACACTTGAGTTCAGGGGCGTCCCTTTAATTGTGGATGACGGCACCAACTACGAATGAGTGACATAAGCTGATGAACTCAGCGGGGCGTCAGAAGCTGTTGTTTATCGACCTTTTGTAGGTTGTCTAACTGCAAGATTACCACCACTGCTGTCTTTTATTATTAGCTCCAGTTTAGCGTTAACATCTGTCGACAGGCGGGCTACACGCTGATCACTTACACTGACATTCTCACAAGTATCCATAGCTCCTACCACTGCATCTGCCTTTAAGTCTACTTCACGTTCAAGTTGTACAGAAATTTTATTCAACTCAGTAGTAGTAGGCATTCTGCTCGTCTCATCATGATCAGCGAAAGACATATCTGCACTATCATGACCACTGTCACAAATATTCACTTTACCGTCGTCTATCTGGTCGACTTGATCATTTTCAAACTCTTTATTAGCAGCAGTAGATGATTTGGGCTCCTCCTCACATATCCTTAAGGGTTTTATACCTTCATTCTGATTAGTAATACCTTGTAAACTTGCGGAGGCAGAACTGGACTCTGAAACTGTGACTCTCTTCTCCTGCACAAACTGCAGTGTTGCCTACGACACTCTAGTCAACGATGGCTTACTGGTTGCAACTACAGCCTTCTTCACTGCACCATTATCGTCACACAATTCGTAGTCGGACCTTGATGACGATGATTTCAAATTTAGCTTACCACTAAACTTGATCACTCCTTCACAGTTCACCTTTGTATGCACTTCTTGCAAACGTGTAAAACACAACCGTGTTTGCCCCGCAACCTGTAACCTATCTGTTGGGTATATCCCACGAAAGTTGTTACAAGCACTAAGATAATATGGATTACTAGACACCATAAAGCTTTCTCGATATCCGCTTCTCTGAGACCCTTTCGTTACGAGTGATTGTGTTTCGCTCTCTGATTTTTCTATTCTAGAGGTGCGATCCAGTATACGAGCGAACTTGCTCACAGCCTGGTTGACACTGTCTCTCACTAGGCTCACAATATCATCCAACCCGGGCTCTAAAGCCTCCTCCAGACGAGGACTAACCTTAATGAACTTCCTTTGCAGATGAACCAGTAATCTTTTGGAAACAGTCTCAAGCACGGAACTTGAATTTATTTCATCTGCGCAATTGAGAGAGACAAGAGTATGTCTATATACCAATAAACTGTTCAAGAACTCTGCGAGTTCTTCTGAATTATCGTTTAACTGTAATCCATTACTTTTCACGGTCTCAAAATTACTACGGGATATCATAACTGGTTTTCCAAACCTTTGACGTAGTGTCCTCATAGCCTCTGTGTATCCTTCGTTCGGGGACATAAACCTGCAGCACTGTATGGCTCTGGCAGCAACACCAGTGCAATACCTCAACAAATACATTGACTTCATTTCGTCATTTAAAACAAAACCACTCAGTGTGACCTCAAACTCTGACAAACTGTGGATAGTCGTTTGGGTTTCCATCAAAGTACCGAGGTTCAAACGTGGGGAGTCTTAAAACACTACTATCCCTAAACGGCGAAGCATGGACATCAAACTCATCATGCATATCATTATAATAAACAGACAACTCATCTTTACTTAATTTTTTGTCTGCTACCATGGTGCCACGTGCCCTCCTTGGCCCAGGCATTATCCAACATCAACAAAGAATCAAAATTGCGTTGATAGTCCGTGTACATAGAGGTGCTGGCTGCAGACCCGGTAAGTAATCCAGGAAGTTCCAGAAGGCTCTCCAGAAAACAAACAGATGAATAGAAACTGTCAAGGAACTTATTCCCAAGTTCCTGTTGTTACGAAGACGCTCCGAACCGATATATACTATGTACATTCTTCGACTTTATATCCGAAACACTAGGATTGTAAGAAGGAAGTTATATTGTTTGGCAATTAAAGTGGTGAACAGCACAAGTCTATAAATAAATGTTTTATACGAAATTGTTATATACTTTTATTCGTCGAACTTGAACACGATCGAACCATTGGGGCCTTCGAGTTGCCCATCAATGGCTACCAGTTCCAAAAACAAACGTTCAATGTCTACGTCCATTGACATCGGCTTAAACAATTATTAATGCCTTTTATTAAGTACTCCTTAAACTGTCCATCTAAAGTGCTTCGAGGAAGAAGTCAGTAACACGGACACAAGAAATAGTGTGACCAGAAGTGAATGAGATGGGTGATTTTTTATGCCTGTAGTACGCTTAATTACAATACTCATCTATATGAATGAAGCAAAAAGTTGTGTCACTGACTTGATATGATTATGAGCAACAACTTGTGCTAGAAACGTCATCAGATAATATTACTGTACAACACTGTGTGATTTGTGAAAAAAATCTTATCCATAATAATTTAATTTATTTTACTTTATTCCAAAAACAGTACTTATAATACAGAATGGAATTCTCAGCATTTGTCACAATATTGCGTCTGATTTACTTAAAATATATATATATAATTGAAAATCAAAACAAAAGAAACCAGAGGAATTAGTCCACGCTTACGATATAAAGTCAGAAGTATTCTAAGCACGAATTGAGATCATTAAATATTATAATAACAACAATAATAATAATAGTAATAATAATAACAGTGAGTTTGTTTCAAACAGTATTGTCGATTCGGTTTGAAAATTTTAGCATGTTACTAAAGAGTATTTAATCTAATGTTCTGTTGATGTAGTACAGTGAGGGAAAGTACAAGATTAACAGTGGTAACACAGCTTAATTGATGTTCACAATTATGAAAAATAAAAACAAAAAATTGAGAGGATTATAAATATGAGAAATACAATAACAATCAAGTTTGGTACTGTAAGGGTGGAAGAATTGGTTTACTCACTAGTGCAAAGGTTAGTTAGTTCATGCTTGACATTATTTTCATCACATAAAGTACGTGCTAAATATGGTATAGTGGAATTTTTGTACTTAGACATACGTGCGCAAATTCTCCTAAAATGACTCCTTGTTTTACCTGAGGAGACACAAGGTTGGAGCTGAGGGTAGAGTGGGTGCTCAGAGTCTGACAAAATTCCTTTAGCAAATTTGTTGCATGACATCAAGTGCCTTTCAGTGACAATGTCAACGATATGGCCTAATGGGAGACCACTCGTCCTACTGACAGTCTTCAGAGTTCTACGAAGTATGACAGTCTTTTCTAAGCAATCCAGGAAAGAATAAGGGTGAACAGTAAAGAAGAACAGGTAAAATACGCGAGTTGACAAACTGTAAGAAGATAGGTTGGGTTATACTTGAGTGCCTTAACTTCTTAATGTAAAAAGTCAGACGAAATATTCTTTTAGAAATCGCTAAGACATAGGAAGACCGGGATAGGTCAGAAGAAAGAATTAATCCAAGATACTTAACTTCAAACTCGATTTCTATATCAGTGTCATCAAATTTGCAAGGATCATAGGAACCAACAGCTTCATTTAACTTTCGTTTACATCGGAAACTGAAATTAACAGTCTGTCATTTGGAAGGATTTAGTTTAAGGCCGTTACACGAAGACCATTTGCTATTTCCTGATAGAAAGCCGTTCATCTTAGCACAGTCAACCTGGGAGTTAACAGATGTTGAAATAGTTAGATCATTGGCATACTTAAAAAAGTTCATTTCACCATAGTGAGGCAAATCATGCAAGAAGAAAGAAAACAGAAAAGGAGAAAGGATAGCACCTTGAGGGACACCAGCCTCAGTAAGCAATGAAGCGGACGACTTTCCCCGACACATAGTGTACTGCTTTCTTCCTGAGAAATAAGAATGCAACCATTTGACAACCCAACAGTCAGTTTGAGTTTTGGCCAGCTTGTTCAACAAAATGTCCCTAGGTACTGAGTCTAAAGCAGATGTGTAATTTAGGAAGGTGCAGCGAACAAATTTAGCCCCTTGTCTAAGCTAGAGACAATGTTATGGTACAAGACAGCAACTGCATCTAAAGTACTTCTATTGTGTTTATAAGCGAATTGTTTAGGTTCATTAAAGGCTTTAAGTGAAGATTGAAGATTGTTATTATTTATTATTGTTCCTTTGGGTTCCTAGTGGAACATAGGGCTTCAGCTGCACGTCTCCATTTGCTTCTGTCTTCGGCTGTACTTTTCACCTGCATCTATGTTAGTCCATACTCTTTCAACTCCTCTTCACTTCACACGGTTTCCTCCATGTCACCCTTGGACGTCCCACACGCCACTTCCCTTTCGGGTTCCACTCGAGGGCTTGACGCGCGATGTCACCCAGCGGTCTCCTCAGCGGGTGACCGGTCCATCTCCAATTTCTCCTGCATATTTGTTGGTTGGCGATTGGTTCTTGTTTTGTTTCTTCCCATAGTTCCTTGTTGGTGATTCTTTCCTGCCCGGCCATCTGATCTTCAGTATACAGCGAAGACAATTGTTGATAAAGGTCTGCAACCTTTTGGAAATATTCTTTGTGACCCTCCAAGTTTCTGATCCGTATAGAAGAACTGATTTTACGTTTGTATTGAAAATCCGAATTTTGTTGGTGATGCTGAGTGACGAAGATTTCCAGATTGATGAATGTGTTTCTCGCCTTCCCGATTCTCCATTCGACATCCTCGTCCGCTCCTCCTGTAGTTGAGACAATGCTCCCTAGATAGGTGAATGAAGTAACCTCTTTCAAATCGCTCCCGTTGATGGTGATTTGCGCTGGCTGTTGCTGCTGCTATTGTTGGTTGGTTATTTTCACCACCTCCGTCTTGTCTATGTTCACTTGGAGTTCCTGTCTTTGCTGCTTCTGAAGACTAAGTAAGAGTAACTTTTCTATAGCTTTTAGAAAAGGAGACGTAATAGCAATAGGTCTAAATTTAAAACATATTCCAGTAGACGACCTAGGGATAAGTACAATTTTGATGTCCTTCCAAACGGCTGTCACGACATTTCTGGAGAAAGATTCGTTAAATACGTCCATAAGAGGATAACAGAGGATGTCTGCACATTTTTTAAGAATAACACTAGGCAAACCGTCTGGGCCCAGGCTACAAGAACGGTTCAAAGACTGGAGACATTTTTGAACATCATTTCTATTGAAACCAGGGAAGCAGGTTTCACTAACACTTGTAACACTAGAAAGTTTGGAATTTGTGAGAGAATATATGAATGGCTTGTTTAGTGCGCAAAAATCAAAGGAATAAGGAATACTATTCATCTGCTTACCACCAGTAATTTCTTTGAAAAGTTTCCATATATTAGACGCATTTTTATATAATATAAACTTTTGGTTGTAAATTGAATTCAACCTGTGCATTTCAGATTTTCATTAGGATGTTAATTCTTTTCAAACCAGTACTGACCCTCATTTTATATAGCTTTTTTTTTGTCTGCGAAGCATTTTAAGTTGAGGGGAGGAGGAACGGTCAAATCTGATGAATAGCGTTTCTCTGGGACAACAGGTGTCAAGACAAAATTTGAGATAACTTGTAGTATCAAAGCCTCAGGATGGTCGGGGGTGGGTGTCTTGCGCTGCGGGTTGGCCACCCCTCCGTACACCTCTTGAAATGCTCCCATATGACCGGGCGTCTTACATAGCCTCTCCTGAGGAAGTCCTACTCACTGCCTTCACGTGGCGGAGGTGTTTTTCACCAAAGTGAGAGGGCAAAAGCGGATGCCCGGCGCTCTTCACCGGGTTGACTGTCCATTGGATGACAGTCTAGGGGAGATGGCTAAATCCTGATTCCAAACCTCCAACGACTGGCGTATGAAGCTTACTGGAGCTCACCGGCAGACGTATGGACAAACGGCTTATTGGATGCCCTGGATGACTGGCCCCATTCAAAAAGGCGAATGAACCGGACTCCGGTCACCGGCTGCCAATGGATAGTGGACTCCTTACTCCACTCCTACTGCCTTGTAGGTCACACTTGGTTGTGTAAAGGCTAGAGCTGCACTCTCAAACAAAAGGCCGAGCGATGCTGGGGACATCACTCGTACCAAATTCCCATGAAACTTCATGGTTCATGAAGCCGGCTCATCCTCCCGTAGGAGATAGCCGAAGTAAAGTAAAAGTAAGTAAGTATCAGAGATTGTGTCATCAAGAGAATCTTCATTAATCAGGTCCCACCTTGTGTCTTTGAGCATGCCCCTAAGATTCTGAACATTCTCTTTAGACTAACATACATGTACAGTTTTCTTGGAGAGGTTTGAAAAAGTTCTCTTGATAACTTTCCATAAATTTGAGGTAAAACCCGCACAATACAGCGATCTGAGTTAAAGAATGGGGCTGTTTTACGAGCTTCGTATGTTCCACGGTCATTTATAAATACAAGCTAAAGAGAAATATCCAGTCTGGTGGGAAAGTTGACGACATTTTCACGATCTAGCACTGTGAGAAAGCTGTAGTCACATGAATTAAAATCACCTGTGACTATGGACAATGAGTTTCCAAAGGAGGAGGCAGCGAAAATAGTGAATTCATCAGCAAACATAGACAGTTCTGAAGTGCTACAGCTGTGGTGGACCTTTTACTCGGTTAGCTCAGTTACCCAAATTGAAATAGAAAATAAAGTACCAAATCAGTTTAGTTACGGGAA